CAGGGAGAGGAAACTGAGGCAGCATTTGCCACCATAAACAAGCCTTGTCTCCTGCGGCTCGAATTCTGGAGGCTGGCATTCCAGAGGTTGTCGCTCATTCATCCTTAGCCACAGGGGGTCGAGTTAGGTTCCTAGAGCCGGGCAGAGAGGTCCACAACACCAAGCTGTGTTCATAGAAGGCTATTTTAAGTTAATGGTCACTGAAGTTCAAACATTCTGAGAAAAAATAGATTTATTGGTTTGAGAGAGAGAGAAACATTGATTGCTTACCTCCCATACACTCCCTGACTGGAGATTGAACCTACATCCTAGGTATGTGCCCTGACCAGGAATCAAACCTACAACTTTTTGGTGTATGGGATGATGTGCCAACCAACTGAGCCACACTGGCCTGGGCAAGTAAAAAAATATGTATATTTTTTACTCATCTCCTCATGTTTATGTTTTGTAATCATATTTTACATCATTTGTATATCTCTTAATTTAATATTGTTTACACATGTTGTTAGTACTTTTCTTCTAACCTTCATACTAACTTTATAATTGCTTGCTCCATTGCTTATATTAAGTATTGCCTTTACTGATGTGATTTTTTAATGTTTTCTTGTTTTTAATTTTGACCTTTTCTTTTCCATTTACAGAATACCCTTCAGCATTTCTTGTACTACTGGTTTAATTTTGAGGAACTCCTTTAGATTTGCTTGTCCGGAAAGTTCTTTACATAGCCTTCGATTCTTCAGGATAACCTTGTGGAATAGAGTGATCTTTGCTGTAAGCTTTTCCCTTTCATCACTGCGAATTCACGGTTCCGTTTTCTTCCAGCCTGTAAAGTTTCTGTTGAAAACTCAGCTGATAGTTTTATGGGCCCCCCTTGTACGTAAGTAACTTCTTCTGCTACTTTTAAGATTTCCTGTTTTTAACTGATATTTTAACTCTAATGTGTCTTGGTGTGGACTTCTTTAAGTTCATTTTTTTAGGGGGAACTCTGTGCTTCCTAGACTTGTAGGTCTATGTCTTTTCCCAGGGTGGGGACGTTTTCAGCTATTATTTTTTAAATAGGTTTTCTAGCTCTTTCTCTCTTCTCCTTTTGAGATATCTGTGATGCATACATTGGCGCTCTCGATGTTTTGCAGAAGTCTCATAAACATCCTCATTTTAATTTTTTTTTGCTGTTCTGATTGGGTGATTTCCACTACTTTGCCTTGTAGGTCAGCGATTTGTTCTTTTTTATGATACATGACTTTCTCTTTGTCGACATTCTCACTGAGTGGTCTGTTTTCCTCCCAAGTTCACTGAGCATGTACATAACCATTGTTTTAAATTCTTATCTTAAATTCTCCATTTCATTCAGGGTTTTTTTTTTTTTTTTAGCTTTATTCTTTTCTCTCATTTGGAATATATTTCTCTGTCTCTTCATTTTGGCTGTCATTCTGTGCTTGTTTCTACATACTAGATATATCTTCTACATCTTCTGGTCTCCAAAGAGTGGCCTATGTAGAAGGTGTCCCATGGGGCCCAGTGGCACAACCCTTCCTGGTCACTGTGGGTGCTCCGTGGGTGTCCCCATGGATTAGGATGTATGGATTGTGCGTGCTCTCCTGTTGTAGTTGGGCTGGGGTTGTCTGAGTACATCAGTGGACAGTGTTGACCCCAGGCTGACTGGCTCAGAGAACTGTCCACAGCCACAGTGGACAAGCTGTGGTGAGCGGGGCTGGCCACACAGAGCAGGAGTTCCTTTAGCAGGGCGCTTGTGCCAGCTTAGGCTGTTGTGAGATGTACTGGTGGTGGAGCCACTTTGACGGGCCTCTGGCGCAGGCCAAGGATGGCCATGAGGTATGTTGGCCAAGGTGGGTGACCAAGTGTTTCGGCCTTGGGACCATTTGGTGGGAGCTATGATGTAAGTGAACTTTGGCTGCCACTTGTGCCAGACTTGTGGCCACTTGATTGAAGCTACACTGTGACCTGAGGCCAACCGGCACAGGTCCAAGGTGTGGGGCCATTTGTTAGGGGCTTCAATGTGAACTGAGGCCAGTGTTGCTTGTGCTGGACTTGGGGCTGCTTGATAGGAGATACAGTATGAGCCAAGGCTGGCTGCTACTTGTGCCAACCCTGAGGGCTTTGTGAGATTTCGGGGTGAGATGAGGCTGGCCACCTCTTGTGTTGAGGGTCCAGAGCCCCTGGAATTGGCTCTGGCCAGGGCAAGTAGGTTGGGTGTGTTGAGGTGTCAGGGAAATGCTGGCATGGGCAAATGGTATTAGCCAGTTTAATGAAGAAGTACAGATTTTGTGCCCACCTGCACCGGGTGAACTAGGTGAGAGAAGAGCTTCACAAAGGAACAGTGGTGCCCACCAGTGCTCTGTACCCTGGGAGAGTTCCCACAGGCCCCTGCCCATCCACTCTTGCCCTGAAGTTAGTTTTTTTTCTTACCCATATGATCCAGGCGCTTCTGGAAGTGCTGCCTCCATCTGCCTCCATCTGCCTCCATGCTGGAGCTTGGAGTCAGTGATTTGGGGCACAAATTAGGAACATCATCCCAATCTGTCACTGCCCTTCAACTTTCTACAAAGCAGTCCCCACTGTGCTCAAGGCCAGATGTTACTGGGATTCCTCTTCCTGGCCCAGGCACCCCGGGCTGGGGAGCCTGGTGTGGTGCACTGGCCCCTTGTTCCTCAGGGGGCCCCTCTGCAGCTGAGATGCCCTCCCATTTATCAATCACTACACCATGGGTGTAGGGCCTGGGCTGACCACATCGCCGCCCTCCTACCCATCCTGGTATGTCTTCTTTATAACTTTTCATTGTAGGAAATCTAACTAGTCTTCAGGTGATTCTCAGTGCTAATTGTTTTACTGTGTCATTTTGATGTGTTCATGGGAGGAGGAGAGTTTGGGATTTACCTACTCTGCCACCCTGACCAGGGCCTGCCTTTGCCACCACTGTCACTGCCACAGGGATCTAAGAGTAGTAGCCTTTTGAATAGACATGATGTCATAACCTATATATGAAGTGTTAAATATTCTTTTAGCTTCTCAAATTACTAAAAAATGTGTTTGAACTTTACCAAAACAGATTTTTAAATCTCCTAGCATTAACTTTGTGAATCTAATTTTATTACATACTTTCTGGTCCTCACCCAAATACTGCACAACATAACTAAGGCACCTCCTGTCACCATATTAGTGAGCAGGCTTGTAGGTCTCCTAGTGTTTGGGGGAAGGAAGCAGGGTCAAAGACAAGACACCATTGCACACAGGGAGCTGGGAGCAGAGCTGAAGCCAGAGCTCCAGACCATTTCCACTTCATCACATTTAAAAGTGCAATTTTTATTTACTTAAAATATTATATTCTGTACTGTGTGTTGGGCTCTATATTAGGAGCTTTGGCACACACAGAAATGAGACATTCTCCCCATAGTAAAGAGCTGCTGTCTAGTCGGGGCCATTGCTGAAGTCATTGCAACATCATATGTTAAGTACTATGATATTGGTGCTGTGAAATGCTAAAGATATCATGCTCAGCTCAGCCTGAGAGCATTCACAGAGACAGCACATGAGCTGGCTTTAAAGAGTTGGCCAGGCTGGAAAAAGGGAAAGTAGGATCAGAAGAACTAACACGTACAAAGACACAGAGCACAGATGGGCAACTGCAAGCGCAGAAGTAAAAGGGGCCGGCTGGGAGTTAGTGCAAAGGGGATGCAAGCAAGGGATCCAACCAAAGGGAGCCATAACGGGTCTTAGATCAGGAAGCAGCGTTGGGTTTGAATTTCAGAAACTTCATTCTGTTTCTCACTAGAGTGATGGAGGTCAGTTAGAGGCTATTTAAAATTCTATGGAGTCATAATTCAGATCCAAAGAGATGGTAGCGGAAGTAGGGATGAAAAAGAAGCAAAAATGGATAATTAAGAATATTGGCCAAGGTTCCCTTGAAAAATCCCAGACAGACATTAAGCAGACTGAGAATTAAATTTCCTTCAGCCTGTTGCCTGTCCTTTGTCATGGCCATTTACCAACCAGATTCCTCTTGAGTATTTCCATGGTTATGGTTCCCTCATCTGCAGCAAGCGCTTTCCACTCCCACAGTCCCTGGCACTGTCCTTTGTCCTCAGGTGCCAACCTGTCCTCCCAGTCTCTTCCCTGTTCCTTAGACCCCACTATTTAATGCCTCTAAGTAACAGTATTTTTATTACATGTGCTGTTCCTAGTTAAAAAGCTTTACTTCTGGAGTGCTTCATTAACAACAAAGACCTAGCTCCTCCTTTAGGCTGATGAAGGCTATTCAGCTTTACCTCTTGTCACACTTTCCAGCAGAAATGTATCATACACTCTTTGCTTAGAAGAGGCAGGGCTTAGCTTTAATGCTAAGTCCCCTGCATACAGTAAGGGCCCAATAAAGGCTCTTAAACACGTAGGGTATCTCAGAATTCCATTACCATGTGATAAATTATGTACAGCATTTATTAAATTGGAATTACTTGCTAATGTGTACCTCCTATTTAGTTGTATATTCTTTGGGGGCATAATTATATATTACATACTAGGCACAGAATTTTGCAGGTACCACTAATTACTTTCACAACATTCTGCTATGGTTCTTGCTTAAAAAGTTATTCATATTGGTTTTGCCTCCATTGTTCTCTTCCCATTATATACTGGCCTGTAACACATGACTTGAAAAGTCAAGAATTTAGAAAACAGGTGTTACTCTTCATCAGGAATGATCAATTATATGCTATGACATTCTTCAGCTTTCCCAGATATGTTATTTTTTTTACTCAGAAGCTTAATATAACGTTGACTTTCAGTTCTGAGATGTGGAGTGGCTTATCTATGCAAACATCTTAAAATGACGTGGGATAGTTACTTTTCATTTTACTTTGTTCAGTTAGCTGTTAAATGTCTTTTGCTTAACATGAAGAAATACAACAAATCGCTCTGAAAGAAATTTGTGTCTATTTGAAAAGAAAATACCAACTCTGTATTTAGTTAACATTCATTTTATAAAATACCTTAAAAGAACAGATAAAGTACTTGAGTTTACATAACCAGAATTGAAAAAAGGATAAAATATAAATTAATTGAACACATAACTATTTTGTCACATTAGACAAATTTTAAAAAGGCATTTAAAAAATAAAACAGTAATTAGGAAGAAAACCATTCACTCTATTGCTGTCTTTTTCTGGAAACGTTTCCTAGAAGCACTAAAACTCCAAGTTAACAGGCAGTACCTGTATTGTTGAACACATACTGTAATTTGCTTCCAAATCTGTCAGCTTAAGAGAAAAAATTAAAATTTTAACCAGGTTAGATAATTCAGTGCAAATTAAAGCTTCAAGTTGAAAATCCGAGAGGAAACAATGTCCAAACTGTAGGAAATACTTCTGGGACTAAAAGAAGAAAAAATTCACATTATAAAGAAATCTTTGCAAGTGTTCTTGTGTGAAATGTTTACAGATGGGCCCTTTGAAGTTGCAGTCGGGGTCTATTAAGACTATTTGCAATGTGAGCAAAAGGAGAAGTGGTTACAGAAGGGCTTAAAGGTCATCTTTGTGGAAGGTAGTTCAAGTTAACCACAAGCACTGCTCTGATTCAATTCAAAAAAATTTGGCCATGGTTATTACAGACACTTAGAAGAAATAAATTTATGGAGAATAACTTACTTGACTATCATTGAGGATAAATTATTTTACTCCCAGGACACATTGGGAAAAGGAGAGCTAATGTTGTGTTAATTATTAGGGCTAAAAATAGCATAGAGGCTAAAAAAACTTATTATCAGGTCTTGAGAAATGGGAGGAATATCTAACTTTTTTGGATCACAGTGAAACCAAGTTGGGATCATTACCAACCATTAGTGAGCAGTCATTTTTATAAATACAAATATTTGCATTTAATTATTTTCTCCAACATTTTTCTCGGAGTTTGATAAGTCACAGGTAATAGGTAGCAGTGGGCTTTTCATGACAGTGTCTGATATATTTTCCCTTTTTCTGTTCTATACTGTAGAAGTTTTCATCCATTCTTTTTAAAGATGAAACCAATGGTTGCTGTTGCATACAAGATCTGGAGATTTTGGTGGAGGCTAGTAAGTTTTCTTTGCAAAACAGATTTAAAATTTTTTTCAGGTCTAAATTTAATATTATTACCAGCAGTCCCTTCTTTTTCCCCTAATTTTCACTTGAAATTTTCACAGATTATTCTGCAATTGTTTGAGTAAGAAGAAGGTACTGTTCTAACATGTGTATTGTGCATCCTTCCCAAATCTACTAAGTCTGTCATAACAATGTCATCACAATGAAGCCGAAACCTTCAGATTTTAGACTGCACCTACAATCAGCAAGTCATAAGCAAGCCAAAATATACAGTGCTATTCCAATGTGACATCAGAAACTGATCAAACAACTGAAAACCATAATGACATAACATGGAGTTCACAAAACAATGCAGAATTGTCCAATATAATTTTTAAAAGTGTAAAAAAACTGCAGTCATATACCTAATCACAGGAAGAACAGCTAAGGCAAGTTAAAAATTCCCTTCCAGGGACCTTAATCAGCTCAGCATCATCTGAAGAAATTAAGACACGAGCACAAACTATCCAGGCCTGTGACTCCTCAAGTACCTCCTATCATGATAGCGAAACGGTCAGGCCAGGGCAGGCGTTACTTTGCAAAGGAATGCATGAGTTCCCCTCCCAGGTCAACTTGGGACTACACGAGTCTCAAACAGCATCACTGCCTATGGGATCTGCCAGATGACTGGCCACACCCTTTCAAGTCCTGAAGGGAGGTTCAGCATCACATGTGCCTTTCTATGTCACATGGTGTGTGAATCTAAGGCCCGGAGAGACATGCACAGTCCTGCGGTCAGGTGGCACCTAGAACACCTTCCGAGGGTTCTGCTGGTTTGCACAGACCTGGTTTTGTCTTATTTCTCCACTATCTTCTCATTAGGCAAGAAGATAGAAGCAGGTTGCCTGAAAATTCTGAAGCTTCGGTGGAAACATTCCAGACTTTCTCCATCAGAGACTTTTACCATTAAAAACACAGATAAAACAAATCATTATACTAAAATCAGCCTGTTTGTGCTTTGAAAACAGTGCCAAGCACATCATAGATGCACGATAAATATTTGTAGTTATTAAAAGTATTAACATGGTTTCTGAAGAACCAACCTCCATTTTCCAAATAAGGCAACGTTATAAGATTTCTTTCACCTGACTGGATGGAGCTATGTGAAGCAATGAATGAATCTACAAATTAAATATGAACTGTAATTTGATTGCAGAGAGAAAACTACCAAGGATTTTGAAAAACAAAAAACAAAAAACAAACATTGCCACAGTAGCATTAGCACTTAACAGTGCATCAACGTTTAATGTTTCCACTGCAGAATGACCTGGTTCCTAACTCTGGTACGTACCAGAGTGTAATCACTCAAATAGGAAATGAACTCTGTTCTACTTGGGAGAGGTATGACCACAGTTTTATCTGAAAATCATTACTATTTTCCATGGAGACAGCCCCCCTATTCAGCATGCCTCAGAGTAACGTGGGCACATGTACCAGGGACCCGTCACGGAACCTCCACACAGCACCCACCGTAACGTGCAGTGCAGTTCCCCCGCATCCGCAGTGGCTGCTTTCTGACTGTTCAGATGTTTACAGTCGTGACACTCTCGGGTGACAAAGATGAGAGTGTGGAAGATGACAGATCCCAGAACTTACACTACAAAGGGAAGCTCCTCTGTATGATATGAAAACACCTTATAAAAGGCAGGTCACTGAGAAAAATAAAATGTTTTATACATTCAGATTTTCCCCATCTCTCAACAATGGTTTCCAAAAAAAGACTCAGTAGTGAAGGCCACACACTTTTTTTGCATTAACTTGATACGCTGAAAATCAGAACCTTGGAAGCATCTTGTAACTGGGAGAGATGAGACGGGTGGGGGTGGAGGCGTGAAGGGCGAGTGTGAGACTGAGCTGTGCCACGTGGACGGCAGGCGAGTGGCGGGAAGTGTTACGGCAGACCTGACCACTCTCAAAGGGTCCGCCAAGAACACAGTACAAGGATCAACAAAACCAAACCAAAAACAAACTGCAACTTCGCCAACTTGTAAACGAGGAAAAGCATTTCACAGATTTGAAGTTCAAGGGAAGTAAACGTCTTTAAATTATTTTTGTCAGTTCAACCCTGATTTAAAAGTATGGCTAGCAAAAACAAGGAAGCCGCAGCCATGGACCTCCTGAGCACACAGCGTCTTCTGAGAAGCAGCCCTTTCCAGCCTCTCTCAAAACGCCAGGTGAGGACGGGACACCTTCCTCCTTAAATGACCCCACACTTCTCTGCTTTCCACTCCTGGAATATGCACGGCTTACTTTCCATCTGGGTGTCGACAGTCCTGGCTGCTATAGATTCAGACGTGGGGAGACTGGAGGGGGGAAGGCAAATTCTCGGAGGATGCTGCGGGCCACCTCGACGTTATTCTGGGCTATCTCTAAGGCTCTCTTCACCTCTTCAAACGCATAACCCTCTCCCATCAGTTTTGCAATTTTTGCATCGACATTTTCCAATGCGGCCTCAGGCCCATGGGGTTTTCTGTGGTGAATTTCTGGTGCAGTCCTGCGGGGTCGTGGTTTGGGAGGTCTGGCTGGTGCTTGGGAACCATCTGTGTAGATTTTAAAGAGAAATATCATTTAAATGATGAGATAAAAGACATAATAACATTAGTATGATTACGTTGTTTTACATGAAAACCTATTTTTCATTATCTTTACAAATAAATGTTTTTGTTTTTTATTTTTATACACCATTGTAGGGTAGGTTATATTTTCCCCATCCTGAACATTAGAAGACCGAGGTAGAATGTGCTGAAAACTTAACTGAGGAATTAACACTCATCTATTTCCACATCTTATTTTTCAAGTCTTATGAAATAAGAGATACAGAAGAAAAAAATAAAAACTGTCTGAAAAAGACAGGCTTTCACCTGGGAAAAACAGCGTACCCTTACTCGCTGTGGTGGGGGAAGGTTCTTGGCAAGTTTCTGCTACATACGACCCTGCTGCAAACTCACAGACACTCCCCACGGACACTCCCCCAGGTCCTCCATCCCACCCAGCAGAACAGCTCTGAGAAACACGCTTTGTAAGGTCTCTGCCTGATTTTTCAAGTTAATGATACTCTAAAGTGATGCCTTACTGACCCCAGCGAGGGAAATAAGAAATGTAGATGCTTTGAGTTTACTGTTTGTCAATAGGTTGAACAGAAATATTTTGCTCAAATACTTTATATAGTTTCCAACAACAGGAAGTTTTACTTGAGTAAAAGCTAAGCCACCTGAAACATCAGCAGGGCAACTGGGTTTCAGACCAGTTTCTCAAAGTTAAACCGAGTGACACTGTTGATCATGAGTGGTAACTTTATTAAGAGAAAAGGAAATTAATTACACACTACTACTCCATAGAAATATCATCAGGGCATTGGCTAATAACTTAAGAGGGTACTTTTCCATGGATTTCCATATATCTGCATTGGAAACTTTAATTAAGAAGACTAGATTTTTAAAAAGATTAAAATAAAAATTGTCATTTTATGCCATGAAATACATTATAAATTAACACTACATAAACATCAACCTTTATTTAATTTTCTTCATAGACCACATACAAATGATAAATCCAAGGACACAGGTAAGTAAGTGAGGAAGGAGGGTGAGCCCAGGACCACACGCCCCCCACCTGTGGTCCCCGTCCTGTCCCTCCTGCTCTCTGCTGCCTGGCCAGTTCCCCCATGGCTGCAGGAGATTCTGCAAATGGATATTTGCAAATAGTAATAAAATCTAAATCATAAAAATTACCTAATACTTTATTTCGTATTTTCCTAAGTATGATACCTTCATATTTTTCTAAGTATGATACTTTTCTATGAGAATATAGCTTGTAAAAAACCATCCTTATCACAATCCTGGCACTATCTATACCATACACAAAATAAAAGCATCCAGGATGAAAATATCTGGTTCCACACCAAATTGGATTATAGTCTTATTTTTAATTTTCTCTTCCTTATAGGATAATACTTGGTTTGAAAAAAATTATAGTAGACACAATTTATTAAACTATGCTCATATATAAGAACACATTAATTTGTTTCTTGCTAAGTCCATATTGCTTCTTGCTGTAACAAAACATCTCAAATTATTGTGGTCAGCTAAATTGCATTTTTTACTGTTTTGAGGTTCCATTTATTTTTCTATTAAGTTTTTCCACTATGTCATGCAGAGGTGAAAAATAAATTATATTTTGCTTCTAATAATTTCCAAAAAACTATCAGAAATTCTAGCAAGCCTTCCTTTAATCAGTGACCACAGAATTTATACATTGAAATCTCATCTGTACTGATATACTGAGAAAAGTCCTAGAAAAACCAAGTCTAAATTCCTTTTTTAAAAATATTTTATTTATTTATTTTTAGAGAGAGGGGAAGGGAAGAAGAGTGGGAGAGAAACATCAATGTGTGGTTGCCTCTCATGTGTCTCCCACTGTGGACCTGGCTTGCAACCCAGGCATGTGCCCTGACTGGGAATCGAACCTGTGACCCTTTGCTTCACAGGCCCGTGCTCAATCCACTGAGCCATACCAGCCAGGGCTAAATTCCTTCTTTTCTGCTGGTAATTTTATAACTTTTTTTCTCATATTGTTATTTTGTTTCTGTCCAAACTATGGAGAAGGGCACCTGAATGTCAAGCCTCTGTGTGCAGAACAGCTGTGTGTGCACTGCCCACGTGTGAGGGCCAGGGCACCAGGACAGGGTGGCTGGGCCTAAGGCCTTAAGATTTAGAACTCTGGATTTAATCAACCCCTGGGCAATGTCTTTGATCTTGATGGATGGCACTAAAAAAGATGGCACCTATTAGAAACTCCAAGAAACCCATCCACTCTGTGAAGCTTCTATAAAGAATACTGGCCAAATGCAGTGGAATTTAGGTGACTAATTTTATTTAAGAGAAAGCTATTTGCTTAAAAATAAATGGTAAATGTAATCTAGAAAACCTAAATTAGCAGGGAAAAATACTCATGACGGTTAAATCAAATCTCTAGTTAGAGTAGTGAAAGTATCTCTCATTCTGGTATTGGCATTTTCTTGGTACACAAAATATATTTAAAATATCAAATATAGAGAATAATTCAAACAACCTCTGAAGGAAATCATGACCTATTTTAAAGGCATCTTAATAAAAATAAAGCATTCCTAAAGCAAATTTTTTTCAATAGATGGATTTCCCTTTTAAATCCAAAACACATTTAATCCTAGTCCTCATTGCTTTACCTAAAAAATGTATTTCCCCTGAACAGTGCTGATGTCTCTTCAGAACCCTACAAGTGCTTGGAGGTTGAATTGTGTCCTGTATTAGGGTCTACATATGGAAGTGAAATGGAGTCTATGTTGCAACATTTTGTGATTTGCTATATATAAATTTTTACCTATCACTGAATGTTTATTTAATTTTGATTATCTTAATTTTTTGTTTGACTGTTTTGGTCAGTGCATCTCAGTTTGGCCACTAAAATTTTGAGTGACTTTGATTTAAGCAATTTTATAATTTCCCTCTCCAAATCTACCCTTGAATCTCCATTTTTAGAGTTATTTATCCCTTCTCAGTCAGGTAGTACATGAATTAATTAACAATGTACAGTGTATGTGGTGAGAAGACCATTAAAAAATAGGACAATGAGTTCATATTTATAATGATCAATGCTATACTGGAAGCAGCAATTACTGTATTTTAAGAGGACTATCAGTGAGGTGTGGACAGAACAAAAACATAGAATTTGCTGAGTGCATAATTCTACAGAAAGCTTTTAGGCAAGATCCTAACAAGATCTGTTACAACCTGAATAGTGTAAGCTGTTGTAAAAAAAAAAAAAAAAAAAAAGGAAAGAAAGAAAGAAAAAAGAGGTAGACCATTTCCTTGCTGGTCGTTAGAGCAAATCTCTTAAAACTAATCCCTCTTTTGACACATTTCTTCCCAAAGCTTATAAGCAGTCTCCCCTGCTCCCACTTATTTCCGCCCCCGCCCCATGTCTAATAGTAGGAGATGCCAAATCCTTATTTAATTTAAATGTGTGGGTAACAGAGGGAAGCACTGAAACAGAAGATAAAAACTATCCCACAGTTCCCAGGTTATTCTATGGTAGTTGGGTCATACATGCCCGTGGACTTTTACCAACTCTATGGGAATTTCTGTATCTGAATAAACGTCACCCTTAAAAACAGTCATTGGAATGGCATGTGTTTATTCTAGTGCTGTTGTCCATGCTCAAGGTATTTTTAAACTCCTGTGAGTAGCAGCAACAGTATCGAAAGAAGTGCAAGGATATGTGGATATAAATAGCACATTTTCCTAGGGCACCAATTTTATTCAAGGATGAGAGATTGTTAGTATTTTTTAATACTGAACCGAATACAGATATATCAAGGAATAAAATGCACAATATGCACATATTTTTGAGATAAATGACACTTTGAAGCAATTTCCTACATGTGATCATCCACTTTTAGTTACGGCCTTAGTCCCATGTTGTTCAGAGTTAACCATTTAGGTGTGGAGAAAAATTAGAGAAGCACTGACTTAGGGGGCAATCTTGACTGAATTTTCATTTTCTGAGCCTATTAAAGAGCAAAGAGACATAAAGGAAAGTCCTGGCTGGCCGGATGGCCTGGGAATTAGCCTGACGACAGCAAGATTAGAATAATCCCTTGAGTGATTACTGTACATAGTGCATTTTAAATTTGATACTATCAACCCCAACAGGCCAAAAACTGATCCTTGAGGGACAAAGAATGATCTTAGATCCTGTAAGGGTTTGTGGCCCTCCAAAGAGCCACAGTGCATAGAAATACATCACAAATCTGTGGTAATAAACTTACAGTGTGGTGGAGGGGGGCAGGATTGAATAGGGGAGAAAAAGCCTAAAAAGGCCTTTAGTTTATTTAAAAAAAACCCCAAAACAGGGAGACATGGCTGTGTGTCTGCACCCAAAGGAGAGGATGGCACTTCTACCCCAGGGGCTGCCAACTATTTTACCAGGAGAGGCCCCGAGGTTTTCCTTCATTATCCAAACTTTGGTGGGTTTTTTCAGTCCCCACTAAAGCTGTGTCTAATAAGTAACTGTCATCATTAATGACTACATTTTCTTCGTTATATTAAGTCTTATTTAACAATAACTACAACACCAAAAATTATGTATTTTTAGACAAAAGAAAACCCATTTAATGTTAGTTTTCTTGCATAAAAAGTGTCCCAGCTACCCAAAGCAATTTGTAAATTCAACGCAATTCATATTAAGATTCTAATGATGTATTTCATAGAACTAGAACAAATATTTCAAAAATGTACATGGAACCTCAAAAGACACTGCATAGCAACAGCAATTTTGAGAAAAAAGAACAAAGTTGGAAGAATCATGCTGCCTGATAGCAAAATATGCTACAACACCACAGTAATCAAAACAGCCTGGTACCGGCATAAAAACAGGCACGTAGACAACAGAATAGAGAGCCCAGGAATAACCCTACACCTTTACAGCCAATTTGTTTGACAGAGAAAGCAAGCACATAGGAGGGACTAAAGAGTTTATTCATTAAATGGTGTTGGGAAAATTG